AGAGAGAGAGAGAGAGGGGGGTGGGGAAGAAGAGCTGGAGTTGAACTGCATAGCGTTATGATTCGTTTTGGGAAATAGAAATTTGTTTTTGGAGCATGATGTGGTCTGCCCTGCACCGTTGATTTTAAACTTTTCGGCTATTTTTTTCCTTTAATTATCCTCTTATCCTCTCGTTCATTGTTGTGCAGATCTATAATAACACTCGATTGTTTTTGTTGAGAAAAAATAAAAATTGTTGTGCAGAAGTCAGAGCAATTTGTGGTATCTGGATCTCCCCAGATAACGAGAAATTGGGTGAATCTTCTGGACATTCAATCTTCCCCTTATCCTCTCTTATCCTCTCCTGAATCGTTGCGCAGGAATCAGAGACAATAATTTGTTGCAGATGAATCTCCAGAGATAATGACARTTCAGGGAATCTTCTGGATATCGCCATTGCCTCCCAACTGAAGTCCTCAAGTGGCGCTATTTTTGGGTGCGGCAGAGACATCGTCAAGAGATAAGGATACGGATAAGATTAATCTTAGTCGTTTTCTACCACGGTGAAGACTAGTTCTGGTTCACACAGCAGCATGTGGCCGCTTTGTGGAGATGTTTTTTTGGTGATAATGTAGATTCTGAAGTGTTTGGTGAACCAAAGATGATTTTGCCTAAACAAATAAAAAGGATATGGAGAATGATGGGCCCGATGGAGACGACTGGCTGGCACCGCTCTCCTCCCTCTCCTCCCTGTCCTCTCTCTCCTCTCTCGCCTCTTTCTCCTCCTTCTCCTCGTTTTCATTTGCGGCCCATCTTTTTCCTCTTTCACAGACCACGTGCCACTTCCAGCGTCCGTCTTTTACTCCAATTGCTCTCCCTCTACTTCTTGTTCACTCAGAGGTCGTTCGCTCGTGGCAGTCGTGATAACGGACTTAGGTTTGACGGCGGGCGAGTGGCAGAGGGATGGGAGACCACGGACGGCGGAGGGTCAGTCGAGGTTGCAGCGACCAGTCTCGCCGGGCGGTCGTTCGAGGAATGGGGGAGCAGACTGGACAGAGGGTCGGTATACGGATCAGCAACCAGGCTAGCTGGGCGGCCGACCGAGGAATCAGAGACCAAGCTACCGGTCGAGGTATCGACGATGAGACTCCACGGGCTACCGGTCGAGGGACGGGCAACGGGGCTCAGCGGCCTACCGGTCGAGAGACCCTCAGAGTCTATTTCCCTCACTGATGATGGTCAGTCTGTTGGAGAGTGTGGTTCCCAGTTTCCGGTCGTTGTACTAACAACGTCCTCGTGCGGGCGACCGGTCGAGGGATCGRCTACCTCCCGTACCGGTCGACGGACACCTTCGGCCGACCGAAGGCATCTGCTGCAGTCGCCGCCCGCCTTACCTACCGAGCCAGCTCTCGACATCGCTCAGAGGAACCTCTTAAGCTCTCCGAGGTACGTTGTAACCGACCCTGCTTCCCAGCCCGCCATCCAGCAAGGAAACTCCACCATAGCTTATCGTCTCTTCGTCACGGACATAGCACTCTCTGCCAACGGATCCCAGCTGTACTACATAGTCTCGGAGAGGCTTATCGCAAGAAACACTACCGATATGGAGGCTTACATAAATCTGATCATGTCGTACAGGAAGGCGGACCTTCAACCCAGACTCGCGGGAGTCCCGGCGTCGGGACCAGTCGTGGGGAAGGTGATCAGCTATTGGTGGCCCAAAGTGAGTCGGGACGGGACACGTGTCGCGTCCCCGCAGGCCTGCGACCGTACTGTAACGTCCTGTAATATGACGATTCCCGAGGCTATGGTGGTGTCCCAATCAGGCGCGCAACTCATCCTCTCCTCCCGGGTGTCGCCGCCGGACGTAGTCAGCCTCGGAATCGAAGATGGGGCCCGAATCTCCACCGCCATGTCGGCAGAGAGTTTGCTGACGTTGTCGACGGATCCGTCGAGATCGACGGTCTACGCAGCGAGCGACCAACAGATCCTGGCCATCGCGGTGGATCGGTCGGGGATCCCGACCAACGCACCGAACGTCAAGACAGTCGCGACCTACGAACCCCCACCTGTCGCCGGCGCTGTGGATCCCATTCAGCTCGCTCCACAGAGCTTCGTCTCATCGGAGAACGGCAGCTGCTTGTACATCATCGACAACACCCATCGCCAGCTCCTGGCCCTGGGCATCAACGCAACCACCCGCCGGTCCCGCTCCCCCTCCACTCCCAATTTCGTCAAGGTTGCTGAGGGATTGAATCGGAACAAGACGGTCTTCATGCAGACTATGGTCACGACATTGGACGGTTGCAATGTGTTCATCACGGATGTTGGTCGGGATGGGTTCCGTGGCTACCTGCGATGGGTGAAGGTGAGGTCGCCATGCGGAGCAGGGGGAAGCGTGGAGATGGTGGCCAGCTATGCAGGCCAGAGTATGTGGGGACTAGCTCTGCTGGAGAGGGAGGAGGAGACACTACTCTACGTTGGGACTAGCAACGGGGAGGTGATCGAGCTGCAAGTTAACAAGTCCTACTTGCACTCCTGCGTCCCGTTCCGGCCAAGGCCCCCCACACCTCCTCCATCCACATCTTCATCGCTGTCTCCTCTTCTTCCTCCCTCCTCGTCATCACCAACACCTCCGGATCGCCTCATATCCCTTCCCCCTCTTTCGACGCCAGTCGGCGACTCCATCAGCTCAGAACCTCTCCCGATCGGGTCCAAACCTGCTGCTACTGCTCCGCTCTCCACTCTTACCGATCCCTCATCCTCCCGCGTGCTCCGCCTCGTGCTGATTATCGCCCTCCCCGTGACAGCTATCAGCATCGTGGCCGCTGTCCTACTTTTCCTCTGGCGCTACTCCATTGTGCGCCGAGCCAATAGAGATGACAACCAGCTCGCTCCCAGAGACAAAGAAGTACGAGGAGACGGAGGAGGAGGCGGAGGAGGAGGGTGGAGGCAAGAAAGAGGAGGACGAGGGCAAGGGGGAGGAAGAGGAGGAAGAGGAGGAGGAGGAGGAGGAGGAGGAGGAGGAGGAGGAGGTTTTTTCTTCTCCTCATCCACTCCCACTCCCTCGTCTTTGACACCGTCATCGGGTACTACGTCCACCGCGTCCGTAAGCTCAAGGAACCGTCGTCTTGATCCCGCTAATGTGCGGGAGTTCGAGCTCGCCACCTTGCAACAGCTCACAGACAACTTCAGCACCGAGTACCGTATAGCTGAGAGGGGGGGATACGGAGAAGTGTACCGCTGTTCTCTGGAGAACAAAGAGCTGGCCATCAAGGTGATGACGGGGGATCTAACTGCGGTGAAGCGAAATCAGTTCATTGCGGAGGTGAACACGCTCACCAGAGTGCACCATGCAAACCTCATTCCTCTCGTGGGATACTGCCAGGAGGGTTACCGATCGATCCTCGTCTATCCGTACTTCAAGGGCGGGAGTTTGTGCGGTCGTATACATCGAAGCACCCGCCAAGACAAGAAGACGGAGAGGGACGGAGAGAGGGAGTGGAGAGGCAGTCCACCTCCTCCTACTACTACTACCCCTCCTCCACCTGCTCCTCCTCCTCCTCCCTTGACTCTCGTCGAACGCATGTGCATTGCTTATCAGATTGCCAAAGGCATTGCCTATCTCCACGAGGGAGCTAGTCCCCCCATCATCCACAGAGACATCAAGAGTGCCAACGTGCTTCTTGGCGATGGCGTCGGGGAGGAGATCCACGTCGTCGTCGCCGACTTCGGCTTGGCCGCCATTGGTGAGAAGGTCTTCGAGACAGGACACGAGCACATCGTGAACACCTCCCACGTGGGCGGGACCTTTGGCTACATGTCTCCTGAGTACATGCTGCTCGGTGAGCTATCGGAGAAGAACGACGTGTATGCCTACGGCGTTCTCATCTTGGAGATGCTCTCGGCTCGCAAAGTCGTCACGCCGACCGACACCGGCGCTGGCTGGCAGACCATCATTGAGTGGATCCGACCGTTCCTGACGGAGCGACCAGCTAGGAGGTGTAGTCCTAATCGTGACAAACCCTTACGACAACATGATCCCGATCCCGACCATGAGGTAGAAGGGGATGATCGGGATAACATACAACATGATTCCGATCCCGACCGTGAGGTAGAAGAGGCCGATCGGGATAACATGCCGAATGCGGTGCTGGACACGTGTCTGCATGCTGAGGTGGAGAGCATACCCTTGATGAGGAAGGTGGTGATGGATACCCTGCAGCTGGCAATCGAGTGCACCCACGAGAAGGACGTGATGCGGCCCGGGATGAGCGAGGTGGTAGAGCGTCTAAGGAAAATCATGGCCGAGGCAAAGATACGCAGTCGAGCTGGATGATGATTGATCGGTTGATTGATTAGTGAGTAGGATGTTAAATAATATATGCATATATATAGACCTATATGTATATATATATATATATATAGTCATAAAGAACTGGTGGGTGACAAGCAATGATTCCTTGGAGTAATATATAACCCGTTGTTTGGCCCTTTGAGCGCGGGGCGGTGCTGTATGTGGGAATCGCCATCCGGGATTGTCTTCTCCCTCTTTTTGGTTGTCACATTGTGGATTGGAGCCTTTGTTTGTTTTGCTGATTTTGTCTGTACCTCGGTTGGTTTGGTCCCGTTGTTCGGGCTATCTTATGGGCGTGGCTGTGCTTTCATGTGGGACCAGCCATTCAGGTTTTTGGCATCCTGGTTGGTTGTTTCCCGTTGTTCGGCCCTTTGAGAGGCGGGGCGGTGCCTGTATGTGGGAATCGTCATCCAGGATTGTCTTCTCTTTTTTTCTTGGTTGTCACACTGTGGATCGTCGCTTTTTTATGTCTTGTCCTGGGTGGTCTTGTCCCGTTGTTTGGCCTTTGACGGAGCGGGCGGTGCTTGCATGTGGGACTTGTCATCTGCGATCTGTCTTGTTTCCCTCTGTTCTATTTGTTTCTTTTGGCTGTTCCCTTCCTCTCTTCTTTGCCTCTTTGCCTTTTGGCTGTGTGCAAGTGGGTCGATATGACACACGGGGTTGGGGGCAGCCGCCGCTCAACCTACATCCACGTGGGCGGCCTTGGACGCAAGAGGTTCTGAACAGGGGGAGTTGTAAGGAAGAAGATTAAAAACGAATTTAAGATTTTTTTGTTTTTTTGGTTTTTTCGCTTAGGCGCTCTGATATCATGTGACAATATACATATATAAATATATATAACCAACTGGCCATGACAGACTGTTTCGTTGGAGTGTCACACTGTCACCAACTCATCAGGAGGCTGAAAATGTATCTGTATGTATGGGCCTGGATCCATTACACAATACTTCACATGCATTTGGAGGGTTTTTAGACCAGGTGCATTCACGCTACATCCACGTGGATGGTTTGTGGATCAGGTGCACTACTACTTCGAAAGCATCTGTTCCACAGAGCGTCCAAATGCATGTAGAATCTTGTGTAATGGAACAAGGCCCTATGTATTGTATATTCCAAACGGAATGCAGTTTACTTAATAAACTGATTATTCACTAGCTCTTGCACTACCAGTAAATTTAAGAAAATTCAGAATATTGAATATTCTAGGAATATAGATTCAACAAATAATCATTCATATGGATTCTTTAACGACCTGTAGTAGACCTAGACCATGCTGATGATTTATGCTGGACTCGATTTCCACCAAGTGTTTCTCCCCGTCAACTAGTAGAATTACACCCAAAAAAAAATAAATAAATAAATAAAAAATTACAGCTATACTGATGATCAAAGAGCTCGGGGCAATTTGGCAGCACAACGCAATGAGATAACGAGTTGTTTCTGAATTATGTATAAGGGACGCTGGGCCCGTTTTTCAGCAGGTGCAGCTCCCCACCAATAGATGGAGCAGCTGGAGGCTACTACTAGTGGGGGCTGCTCGTAGCAGGTGCCCTCTAGTAGGGACCAGTTGGAAAACAAAAACAAAAAAAAAAAAAAAAAAAAAAAAAGTTTTGGGATGGGGAGGAGAACGGGTGGGGCAAGGGGAGAGGGAATAACGGGGGGGCCCGGCTGGGGGGGGGTGTATTATCAGATCGTGCATTGTAATTTAGTGAAAAAAAACGGAAAAAACTCAGGGAGCCGAATTGTGATGAAGGATAATCGACAGTCGGGATTTGGAGTGGCTCGAGACATTCGAGATATGGAGTGGGTCGAGCCCATCGGGACATGGAGTGGGTCTTACTTTCTTTTTTTTTTTTTCTTTTTTTTTTTTTGGGTCACCCGGAACCAAGTTCCTCCAGAGGTGGTTTAGAGAACTTTAGACTTGGTTTTGGGTAGAAAAACTGAGTTAGAATTGCACTTTGGCCAAACATACAGTTTGCAATTGCACTTCGGGCACCCTACCTGGCCAGCAAGCTGGGTTGTATTCATTGGCCGAACTGCAATTGCAATCTGTATCTTGGCCCATAGTGCAATTATAATAGTGCAATTATAACCACTTTTTTTTTTTTTTTTTTTTCTGGAAGAACCTGCGCATTATATTGCAAGGATTGGGAACTTGAGGCCGGGAAACCTCACAAACAACCCGGGAGAGGACTCTTGGGCCACTACCCAGCTTAGCCTTGGACCCCACTGGCCGGCGGCTGGAAAAGGTACTTGGCGGCCGGTTTGTGGCCAACATTCATGGAAAGGAATTGGCACGTTTAGACGCGGCCCCGCCGCCGATTTCTGGCGCGGCTTTGGAAACGGCCAGGCTTGCCGCATTAGGAAACGGGAGAGGGGCCCCTCCCGAAAAGGAAAGTTCGGATGGCCTGCAAGGACCAGCGGACATGCAAACCACCAAAGGCCCGTTTGGACTATTCGTGCTCCCCAAAAACTCATTTGTCCCCATGGCAGCTATACACACTTCAAGCGCTGTGTTTCTTTCTGGTCCAGCCTCAAGTCCGTGACGCTCCATGAACTGCACCACACCGTGCTGGCCCCTGATGCCAACCGCTAGCACTTTGCCTTTCCTACCCTGATGGAGGCCGTTTTGGAAAGGAGGGCCGGTTTCTGGCGGAGACTTTTACAGCCGCCAGCCATGTAGAAACACGGGCAACGCTGTTTCCAGAACGGCACTGGGTTCTGAAAACCGACAATGACATACCTCTACAAAACTTCCTGGCGGCCCAGTGGAGTCCGAAATCGCCCTTCCATGCCCAAACTTTTCCAGCCGCCGGCCAGTGGGGTCCAAGCCTTAGGCTCATGCTGGAAACCCGGAGCAAGATCCCACTAGCCATGTATGTGGATTAGTGTGACGGGTGTGGAATGGGTGGGGGACAGGTGGGTGGCAGCGTGAAATAGGGAGAATAAACGCAAAAAAAACATTTCATGACCAAACAAATGAAGAAAAAACTGCTAAAAACGAAAAGAAAGTGCTCTTCTCACAGATGGTGTCTGCTCCAGGCGGGGTGTCAGATGTCAGGGTATGATTCACTGACCATGGCTGTGGCAGTCAACACGACTGCATGTGAGTGGGCACACGGACCATATTCATTGACAATAGTCTGAAGCTTCCTTGATATGGATCCCTGTTCTGTTGTTCTGACAGAAATTCTTTTTTTCTTTTTTTCTTCTTTTTTTTTTTTTTCCTGAACAGATCTGTGTTTGGTATTGAAATGTCATGAACAGAGGCCGGGGACCTCAGATTGCTGGAAAACAGGTCCAGCGTCCTATCTTGGGTAACAGACTGGAAAACAGGTCCAGTGTCCTCAGGAAAAAGGATAGACAAACCGGCTGGGAACCAGGTCCAGCGTCCTTTCCAGAAAAGCATTTCTAGCTGTTCTTAGCAAGTTCTAGCAGTTTCCGGATATGAAAGAGGCTAGTACCTGTTTATGGAACTGAAACTACCCCTCTTGACAGTCTATTGACTATCCCTGATTTAATCTTAATCCAAGGGTTTGGTTTCTGTCTGTTGCAGAGGCTAAAAAGACTTGCGTTTTCAAGTAGCAGAGTGTTGGTCCCACAGCAATCTGGAAAAATAGACTTGGCCTGAAGCCAGGTATCCTACCCATCTGAAGGGCTGTTCCCACAACCCCTTTAGAGCTAGAGGGCCTAGGAACTGCCCGAACTTTGAGATTTTTCTCTCTCCTTAGATCTGCTAGTATTAGCAGGCGAACTGAATACCGAAATTGATTCCTGACAGCGGCCTAACTAGTGGGTTTGGAGAAAAGGCTGTTTGTGAAAACAGCTGGAGATATCAGAAGTGAGAATGCTGACATGAGTAACAAAAAATCGGATGAAAAACATGATCGTCGAAAGCTCAAGGGTTTCTGCATTCAGTCGATCTACGCAGAGTGAATCGGTCCCTAAGGAAACCCTGAAAGGCGGGGCCGATGGGTACTAGAAAGTGACGAAATTTGAATTTAGCTAGCGCTACTGAACTGCGTGCTAACCAAAGGACCCAGAAGGCAATAGCCCGGAGTTTGTAGGCCACAGTCTTACCTTTCATGACTGTAGTGACTCCGGAGATAACAAAATCTTGAGTCCAGACCAGTGTCGTCACCCTGTACGCGGACGGCCCATCCGTACAACGAGCGTACGTATGGGCCCTCAGCGCCCGTACGGCCCGTATGTACGGACTTTGGCCCTCCGTACACGGCCTTCCGGAGGGGTGTTGAGGGGGTGGATGGGCAGGGCGGGGGTCGGATTTCGGGAAGTACCCACCCCCCATTCAAAAAAAAAAAAAA